TTTTGTTAATAATTTCAAAAAATGTTCGTGTTTGAAAAAATCTTCAGGAATTTCAGAGACAATTCTCGTTTTTAAAATTTGTTCGCAATTTCAAAAAATGTTCTCGTTGTTAATTCTTTTTCAGAATTTCAAAAAAAATCGTGTTCAAAAAAACTTCACGAATTTCAAAAATGTTTTTTTTACAAATTTGCTCACAATTTTAGAAAAATGTTCATGTTTCAAAAAAATTCTCATTTTCAAAATTTGTTCAACATTTCTAAAAATGTTTGTGGTTTCTACATTTTGTTTGCTATTTCAACAAATGCTCCCATGTTTCCAGTATTGTTCACTTTTCTAAGAAAGCTTACAATACAAATTTTGTTCACATTTAAAATATGTTCTATTTAACCTTTTAATCTTAATATAAAAATGTCGTGTTTCCCATTTTTGTTCAAAATTAAAAATTATCCACGATCTTAGAAAATGTTAAGGAATTTTATAAAATGGTCGCTTTCTTCATAATTTGTTCATTTGTTTGAAAAATTTTAATTTTTGAAAATTTGTTCGTGTTTCTTTTTCGGAAGCGTCTGGCCGGCGCCCGGCCACCTGGGATGCTTAGTGAGCGGCTAACCACTTTAGGAAATTTCTTGTCTCTCTTTCTAATTAGGATAGTTTTCTCATCTAATCCATTTTCCTGGAACATATTAAATGTCAGCACATGCATCTCCTCATGTGCATGTTTTTGTTCTCTTGTGCATTTAATTTGTGGTGTTAAATTTTTAAAAAGGCATAATTTTCACTCCACGCGTCGAAATTATGACCTGTTTTCATCGTTGGAATCTTAGCAACACGCTTTCCGAAACTAGACCTCGCATGGGTATGTTTCGACAAACTTTTTGTGTGTGCAATTTAGTCTCCGTTTCATGCAACTGTCTAGTAGTCGATGTGCAACTACCTGACAGTCGTTGTGCAATTTCCCTCTACTTGTGAGCGTGCATTTTTCACTTATGCAAACAGGTGTGAAAATTCGGTTTTCACTTAAGAAACATAACTTTTGAACGAATATCAAAATTAAGATTTGCTTTCACCATAAGAATTCTCACGACGTTCTCTTCGAAACTAGATCCCGCATGAGTATATTTTGATGAAGTATTTTGTGTGCAATTTAGTCCCCGTTAGGTACAAGTGCCTAGCAGTTGATGTGCAACTACCAGACAATCGAAGTGCAACTTTTCCTCTACCTCGTGTACGTGCAATTTTCATTAGTGCCACCTCCACCCCAAACTACCCTCTACTATTGAGATGTGCAACTACGTCTACTCCCACGTCCAACTGACTAGTAGTTGATGTGCAACTTTTTCTCTGCATGTGGATGTGCAGTTTTCACTGTTGTTACCTCGACCAACTGCCTAGCTGTGGATGTGCAACTTCGGATGCTACCCCGACCAACTGTCCAATAGTCGACATGCAACTTCCTCCCGTACCATATGGAAGTGTAGTTTTCACTTCTAGACCCATGTCCCAACCACCCCTTGTTAGTTAGATCTCCAACTTTAGGGCCCCGCCTATAGGCCACTCTTCTCTTCCCTCAAGGATGTGTAGTTTTTTACCATCCAACAATCACCACTAGTGAAATGTGCAACTTCGCCTATTGTTCTAGCCAACTGTCTTGCAAACTATGTGCAACTTTGTTTGTTCCCCTGCCAAACTATGAATCCACAAGTAGGAAGAAGGAAAAGTTGCACATCGACTACTAGACAGTTGGCTAAAACAACAGACTAAGTTGCACATATCACTAGTAGGGTAGGTGGGGCAGGGTGTGCCGATAGTGAACAATACACATCCACGAGTAGGAAGGAGGGTTGCATGTCGACTACTAGATAGTTGGCTGGGATAGTAGACTAGTTACACATTTCAAAAAATTGGTTGTCATGGTTGCTAAGTTGCAACTATAGGAAATTGGATCATGCAGCTCTAAAATTGGCTTTGTAAAAAATTCCACCATGCAATACTAAAGTTGCACCATGTACTAATAGAGTTACACCATATAGCACTAAAGTTGTCATCGAAAATTTCGCCGAAACATATTCATGCATGGTCTAGTTTCAAAGATCTCGTCACAGAGATTCCAACAATGAAACCGGATCTAAATTTTGATGCATGGTTTAAAAGATATAACTTTTTAAAAATTTAGAAATCCGAAATAAATGCAAATGGATCTGTTTCCCCCAACCCGAAGTGACTAGTATAGATGCATTAAATGCCAACAGCCACATGCGCTAGAAGACAAAAAAAATTAACGCATGCATATGGGAGTCTGGCCGCTCAAGTCGTCTAACCAGCGGGCACACGATTGTGTATTTCTGTTCTTTTTAAAATTGGAATTACAAAAAAATTCCACTTCTCTAGAAAATTGGAATATGAAAAAAAATTGAGATTTTTTAGTTGTTGTATATTCATTTTCAAGAAATGTTTTCAAATAATTTACAAATCTCAACGCTGTTGTATGTTCTTATAATGTTTTGCACCTTAACGGCCCAGTGGTCAGTTGTCTATGGCGTCTGAGGTCGGGCGTTTCCTATTTAGCGCTGCAGGCGCCCGTTTGTGTGCATTTCACAAACTGGCGCTTGCAGCGCCTCATGCCAGGCCGGCCCATGTAGGGGTGCCTGAGTTTTTTTTTCTTTCATGTTTTTAGAACCAGCGGGCACATAATTGTGTATTTCTGTTCTTTTTAAAATTGGAATTACAAAAAAATTTCACTTCTCTAGAAAAATGGAATATGAATTTTTTTTTGAGATTTTTTAGTTACCGTATGTTCATTTTCAAGAAATGTTTTCAAATATTTTACAAATCTCAACGCTGTTGTATGTTCTTATAATGTTTTGCACCTTAACAGCCCAGTGGTCAGTTGTCTATGGCGTCCAAGGTCGGGCGTTTTCTATTTAGCGCTGTAGGCGTCCGTTTGTGTGCATTTCACAAACTGGCGCTTGCAGCGCCTCGTGCCAGGCCGGCCCATGTAGGGGTGCCTGAGTTTTTTTTTTCTTTCATGTTTTTAGAACCCAAAAAAAGATGGAGCAGGTTGCGACTCGAACATGGGACCTGGCTCGCCGCTAAATGCTTGTGTTACCACCCTGCCACGCAGCAGGTTTTTTTTTGAGCATCAGTACAGACACACGCGCTCATATACACGCGCATACACTCATCCCTATGAACGCACACACATCCTACCCCTATGAGCACCTCCGAGAGACTGAGCCGGCATATCATCTTGAGATTTACGAAGTCACCGTAGGCGCCTCGTCGTCGACGGGAACGTCTCCTCCCACTGAAAGCCCATCGCCAGAAATTCTGAAATAAATCCAGGAATAATGCGAGCATCAGGATTTGAACCCTGATGGATTGGGGATACCACTGTCCACCTAACCAACTCAACCACAGGTTGGTTCGCGCCACGCAGCAGGTTGTGATAAGCTATAACCTTTCCTCTCCTTTTCCCTATTCTGTTTTTTGTTTCTTTTTTCTTTTTGTACGACCAGGTTCCCCCTGCATCCCTTTGAATTTGATGAACTTTTTTTTCAAATTCAATGAACTATTTTAAAATTCTATGAAACTTTTCAAATTCGATGAACCTTTTTTCAAATTCGATATTTTTTTCAAAATCGATGAACTTTTTTTCAATTTTTATGAGCTTTTTTCAAATCATGAAATTTTTACAATTTTGATGAACTTTTTCCAAGTAGATGACATTTTTCAACATCAGTGAACTGTTTTTTCAAATTTGATGAACTTTTTTATTCAAAAATAATGTTTTTTTTTTAAAATTGGTGACTTTTTGTTCAAAAACGACGAACTTTTTCCAAATTTGTGAACTTTTTTTGAAATTTCATGAAGTTTATCCTAAATTTGCGAACTTTTTCCAAATTCGTGAAGTTTTCTCAATTCAAGATTTTTTTTTCAGTTCGTACGAACCTTTCCATTTTTATGAACTTTCTTGAAATTCATGTTTTTTATATCGTGCATTCATTTTTTTCTTTTCATTTTATCATCAAAAAATACGCATAACAGGCTGGGTGTAATAAGGGTTGTTTGTCCTCAAATTAGACACCGTACGGAGTTTGTCTTTGTGGCTGCGGTCGAATTACCGCATAGATGGTCAGAGATCGAATCCTGTTTCTACCGTATGCAGGCAAACAACTGAGAGCCCACATCGTTCGTGGGTATATTTATATCTATACCTCTCTCCTTATAATAATAAAGCACAGATTGACTTTGTCGGGTTACGCCTTTAATTTAAATTAAATTAAATTTTTTTATATATATATATATTATATATACTAATAAACCGGCTGGTGCTTCTGGTCGGACGTCGTCGTCCTTTTTGCAGAAAAGTCCCTGTAGTTTTTGGTAATTGAACCAGCAGTCCCTGTTTAAGTGAATCTGAGAAAATGCTTCATTTTTGCAGAAAACCCCTGCATTTATTAGTTTTCAGCCCCTTCCCCAGTTTCCCCTCTGCCCCGACTAAAAAAATCCCCTCTGCGCCGGCCGGCGCTCGACGGCCCGATTCAGCGCCTTCCGCCGGAGACCGCCCGCCGCCGACGAGGGGCACGCCGGTGATCTCCCCCAGCCCGCCTGCCCCTCTTTCATCTCCGTTCTACTCCTTCTCTCTCGGCCCCCTCGAGCTCGCCTCGATCCATGGCCTCTCCTTAAACCTAGCTCCAGTCACGGCCACGACCGGCTTCGCAGCTCCCGGCCGCCATCGCCTGCGCCTTCCCCCGTGTCTCCCTCACCTCGCCTGTGCAGCACCGTGGTTGTACATCGCCAGCGCCATCAGCTACAGCCCCGCTCTAATCCACCTGCAAGCCATGGACAGCGGCCTGGCTGCTCACTCGTCGCTGGCCTACCAGTACCTCCACCAACATCTCATCCATCTAGATCAGGGGCGCTTTAATTTCAGCAGATTTTCTTCTTCTTTGCAACATGGTAATTTTCCGGGATAGAGTCTTGATTTTAATTATTGCAGAATGGCAATCTGCTTTATGTTTGCTTTATCATCTCAGGATAATCCAGATGTTTTCCTATGCCTTGAGGAGTTGTTGATGGATGATATACATAGGCTACCAGGTGGTAGCTCCAATGTTGCAACTGAGGTCAGCAATGGGTGCTTCTCCTGGGATGGCTCACTTGAGATACCAACATTGAAGGATCTGAATTTTCAAGCTCGGCAAGGGATGCGTGTTGCACTTTGTGGGACGGTCGGCTCTGGAAAATCAAGTTTGATCACTTGAATTCTTGGTATGGTGCCAAAGCTATTAGGAGAGGCCAAGACTTGCGGAACAATGGCATATGTCAGCCACAAGGCATGGATACAGAGCGGCAAAATTCAGGATAACATACTGCTCGGCAAGGAGATGGAGAGTGAGGAGTATGGCAGGGTCCTTGAGTGGTATTCGCTAAAGAAATACTTGGAGATCAAAATCATTGGAGAGTGAGGCTGCACTCTTAGTGGCAGGCAGAAACAAAGGATTCAGATAGCCCGAGCATTGTGATGTATGCTGACAACTATTTTGTTCCATGATCCGTTCAACGCAGTTGATGCTCATACAGGATCCCAATTTTCCAAGGTAAAAATACAATCTCTCTTTGTTACTGAACCTTTTTCCTAAAATATTCGTATTTGTTCCGCTTGAAAAAACTAGGACTGATCTTTTGATAATGTTATGTAGAATCTTTGCTGAACTCCCTTGGTGTTAGTTGTTCTTGAACCGAAGAAACGTGCGGTCTGGAATTGACATCATTCAGTTCCTTGATGAAAACAAAGTTGCATGTCCTTTTAGTCTAAACGTAATATTATGCCTTGGAGCATATGATGGGGGTCAAATCGCAGTTATGAACTGCATTGCACGTGCATGAAGGCGAATGATTTTTCTGGATGCCATTGCCATCTGGTACGTTGAGTTTATCAGTGAGTAATTGGTACAAAGTTCAGATTATCAGTTTATGTTTGTCTTGGCAGATCGATGGTTTCGCCGCGGTCGTCGGGAGAAATATCATCGACGGTAGGGGAAAAGCGGGTAGGCTGAGGCGGGCACCCACACCAAGCGGCCGACCCACGAAGGCGGCCATGCAGCTCCGCCTCGTGCCTCTCTCCCCATCTTTATGTTCGTGTCAAACCCAGCGCAAGGTAGAGGCAGAAGAGGAGGCCGGGAAGAGAAGCTGCAAGGTAGGATGCTTTTGATCTGAAGGCAACAGTTGGACGATCTGCTCACAAAGACACACCTCTATTTTGAATTTCAACTTGAAAAGATTGATCAGGTCACGAATGTAGCTTGGCTATGTCTCTCACTGGCGCTGAACAATGTTTTGCTTATTTTCATCTTGGTTGCTGACATTGGTGGTGTTATCTGTCAGAGAAAGTTGTTGAAGTGGAAGAAGGTGAACCTGTAGAAGAGCTGAAAAAAGGACGTGGTAGAGACAAGGAAGCAAAGCCTAAACAGTATAATGATATGAGTTCAGATTTCATCTGTTTTCTTCCCTTCTTCATCTATATGATAGCATAGCTGTCTTCTAGATTATGCGAATGTCTTTGGTTGTCATATACTGCGGATGCATTGTAGTTTGATGTGTCGTGTGTATTAACTGCTCAACAGAGTTTCCTTGAATAATTATACAGATACTGTTCTATCTCTTATTGTTTCATAAAATTCTAATTAACCGCTCAACCTGTGACAGTACTACCTCGCCCAGCCGCGCATCCAAGACGCGACGCTTGCTGGAAAGCTGGTCAAGTAGGTCCTCGACTGCGAGATTTAGCTGATTGATCCTGTGCATTAGCCTAATTGTTACAATAAACGAACTTACAACAATGATGCTTTCTATATTGAATTCTTATATTCGACCTCACCATTGCTTAGTTTCCTTTCCTGATGTCAAGACACAAAGAATTTGAGATTCAATTTATCTTTTTTAGTTTTCACACTAGAGTGCTTCATTTATATGTATTACTGTAGACACATGGGAATCCTCAAGGTGTCAGGCTTGTTCTTATTATTGCTCATGCAACCCTAAACTTCAGTTAAATGCCTCCTAAGTGTACTATGAAAGGAAATGTGTGCCATTTTTATCAAATGCCTCCTATCCCACCCCCACCCATGTGTTTCTCCTAAGTCATCTGCCCTTCCCATGCTGCCTTTGCCTCCTTTGTGTATCACCAGATCATCATCGATGTTGGCCGCACCCGCACCATTGTCCCATCCACTTCTTCATCCTCCTCTCTACTACCTGCAAGTGTCGCAAGCTACAGACAACAATTTTTACTATGTTCTTGACATTGTAAAAGTCTCACGTTCTGGAACCTACACACTTAAATGTCTGTTAGAGATGTTTATCGCATCATAAACTATGTGTTCTACACATGCCAACGACATGGAGGGAAGGAAAATAAGCGGCGATATGGATGAGATATCGTGTTGAAATAGAGGACCTGGATCTGCTCTAGGGAGGGGGCCTTAACTAAGGACCTGAGCTATTTTTGTATCTCCCGTTGTAACGTACGGGCATTTTTGCTAGTTTAAATTTAAAACATATATGTGAGATGGTACTAATTCGGGAACCACGTCGTATAAAAAAGACGATTCATTTCCTCGATCCTTCTTTCATCCCCAGCAGCCCGTCTCGGTTCGCATAGGCTGGCCACCCCCGCCTGGGCCTTAGCCTATCTATTGCCCAAAACAGCATCATGGCCCAACTACAACCAGAGACGAGGTAAAAAATTGCCATGAACTACCGTGCTCCCCTTCTCCCCCTATCTCGCGCTACAAGGGCATGGCCCTGCGAGCGGCCGCGACGAGGCTCGCGTCCTCCAGCCTCTGCTGCCGCCACGGCCACCTCCTTCCGGTCGTGGGCGCGCTTCGCTGTGACCTGTCCGCGCCGCCAATCCTCTCCGACCTCCTCAGTATCCTTGTCAATCTCGGACGAGCTATTCCGTGATTTGGATGGACAATGGGAGGCCGTGTCCTCCAACACCAAGCAGTCTCGAATGAGCTATTCCCTGGCCTTTGATCAGGAGCGCGCTGATCAGGAGAGCTGTAGCGCTACCATATGTCATAGACACGGAGCCAAGCGCTACCATTCACGACACAAAGGCACAGTTCAGAGGAGACAAGTGGGCAACAAACACAACCAGAAAATACAACTTGTTTGCTATAAGAAGGAGCAGTCCTCGGCCGAAATCTCCATTAGATTGCATTCTTGGACCATAAGCTCCATCAAAGCCCGTCCAAATTGCTTTTTTTGACGCAACGTACAATGTCACCGTCGAGTTCGCCGGAGGAACAAGACCATCTGTCCAACCGTCCAATTTTGCCTGCTTCGGCTACACCAGAGGTAATGTATTGCCTTCATATTCACTGGATGGAATCCCCTATTTGTCCCCTATCTCTTGTCTCCGATTCTGTTCTGTAGCATGACTGAAATAAGTGACAGTACTTAATTTATAAAGCATGAGAAAACTGATGGAGGATGGTTAGTACAGCAGCAAAGTTTTGTAAGCTCAAATTTGTAGACTGATTTAGTAGTCTATGTGATTGCTACATGCAAGTCAGTTTAGATTTTCTGAGGGGAATGGCCTGGTCCATCTTTTCATGTGATATGAATTATGATGTAGGACATGGCCACAAGGGTTATTTCTTCTGTTGGCAAATAATCTTAAGACTTTTTTCCCCGGGTGATTCGTAAGACAGATTACCCTACACAATTCACAGTTTTATATTTCTTATGCATCTAAATATATCTGTAACTTAAAAAAATCAGGTTCCCGCAGGTTTTGACTTGACTAACAAATTTAAGTGAATTTGTTATTCCTTTTTGTGCTCTTCTTTTTATTACTCAAATAAATCTGTAATTTAGCCAGGCTAACATCAATGGGCTGCAGGCCATAACTATGCTAGCTTAACCTGAATTTATAAAAGAAAAATTACCAATTCGTTTTGAAAATATCTTAGGCATCAAGTCCAGCAAGTTTGAGATGTTCACAGAAACATGTCGGTTTCAGGCAACTATAATTCAGGATTCTTTGCCAAACTGTAACGTTTCAGCCATTCAAAAACATTGCCCATGATGTTAATATGTTGACTAGGGCCCTTTTGTAGAAACTGAAGTGTGGCATCTCTTTTGATGGTTCAATAGAATTAAGTGTCTGGAGTCACTTTATATTCAGAATTGCCCTGCCATCCATGCAATAAATAAAAAAATGATTTGGCTTGGTTTTCATGTCTCTTCTGTGTATGCGCGTGCAGATGGCAAAGGCGTCCAATCCAACTCAGGTGGAGGCCAAGGAGGTTTCAGTTTTTTTTCTTCAACACGTCTATATTTATTTTCTATATCCAAGGTGGCACTAATCTTTGGTAAATTTGCAGAAAAGCCCCTCACTTTTTATAGAATCAACCCGCAGTCTGTATAGAATCAACCCGGAAGAGAAAAAAAGCCCACGTCGTCCGTCTCCCACACACGAAACAAAGCAGTTGATTTTCTCTATAAAATCCCACATCACTACTTCGCAATTAATTTAATCAGTTCATATGCGTGCGCCTTGATGATTCTAACAAGAGGCAATGGAAATCAACGGAGGAACGAATCCAGAGAGGTGTGCAGCGAAGGAACCAAACAGAACCCAGAGAGATGTGGAAAAAATTGGGATGATGCTGATAGAAATTGGCCTGCTAGCGAAGGGAAGGGCCTGCTCCGGGCAAAGGAGAGGACGGCCCGAGGGGAGCAACCCTGGCCTTGCTCGGCCACGAGCTTCATGGTGGGGCGGCGTTGTGTCCCTCGTCAGCCGGTGGCGGCTGCTATGGCATCTCCATGGCGCAAGCAGGGGAGGCGAAAGCAGCGGCTACGCCGCCTCCAAGATGCAAGCAGGGGAGGCGAAGGGCGCAGCAGGAGAGGATGGAGCAGCGGATGTTGTGCTCGCCGGCAACGGGCCCTTGCCGGCTGGCTGCAAGATCTTGGCTACCAACGGAGCCCCTTCACACCGCGGCACCGCGGCCCTGCAGCCCCCATCGCCACCAGCCACCCTCCACAAGGAGGAGAGGGGCTACACCAGCATGGCACGCGGGGGGAGGGGAGGAGGGGGTGGGGCGGGATCACGGCAGCGGGCGCATCCCGGGAGGGGAGGTCAGGATGGACTTGGCTTGGCGAGAGCAGGAAAAGGAGGAGAAAAGGAACGGACATCTCATGAAGTACGTGGGAGAGAGACAACGATGATAATGTTGGAAGGGGACAACGGTGCATG